GAACGATCCCATGCTACCAGCCATGTTTACTGCGGAAGAGCAACATGGAGGAGGCATTGAAGAAGAAGTCGTTGAAGTACAAATATGGGGCTTCTCAAGACAATGAATATATAGCTAATTTGCAGGATCAAATTGCGACTCAACTGGATAAAAAACAAACAATTTCTTTTTGGTATTAATGTTTCATATCCCGTCTGTATTTAAGTATAAACGACTATTAATATATTTTTCTATTTAATTTGAAGTATGGAAATTGTATTTTGTTCTCTTATTTGACAATTAATCATATGAAAATTAGTAAAACAATATTATTTTTATTGGTAAGCGTTTATTTAAAGAATGCGTTTTTTTTTTGCATTCCATTAAACTATTAATAACAAAAATAATTACATATTATTCAACATATAATTACAATTAAGATTAAAATGGTCATTTTATTATTGGTAAATACTTATTAAAAATGTTTGCTAAACACTCTTACTCAGGACAACACTTACATGGATAGCATTCTTACCTAGACAACACTTACCCAATAAGAATTGATAAACGACCCCAAGTTACTTTGAATTAAATTATTTTACATTAGGTTGAATTAAGTTGATTGAATTGTTCGGATTTTTAATCACCCCTAAAACCATGTATGAATATGATAAAGCGATTTAGTGAAGATCAAACTCCAAAGGACTTTTAGATTATTTATTGGGTTAAAAAGATTGTGGGGGCAAACTTCAATAGGGCTCCAGATTACTCAGGAACTTGATTGAAAATTATGGGTCAAACCCCATTTTTATTTTGGGATCAAAATGGAAAAGGATTTACCTTTTTTAAGAACATCAAAGGCATGCAAGTTTAAAATGGAAAAAGACTGTAAATCACATAATAAACAGATATAACGATGATTTGTGGGATCTTTGAGATCTAATACCACATGTTATATTAAATTAAGAGTTAAATTACGGAATTAGTAATTTTGAAATAATTTTTTTCAAAAAAGACATTATGGGTATTTTATAAATATCATCTCTCTCCTTTCTCCTACATACTAAAAACTTAGTTTACTTGGTACACAATTACACACCACTTACTTTGAACATATTACGAACACCAAAGAATCCAATAGAACTTTGTAAAAACCAAAAAACCTACATCTCGTGAACATCAAATTAACTTTGTTAACACAATGTAAACATGTTATGAATGTGTGATATCTAATGTAGTTTGTGAATAACCACAAGTGTGGTGTCTGATTGGTTTGAGTTTGACTCCAAATGTCAAAAGTATCAGGAGGTCTCAGGTTCAAATCGAAGAAAGAATACAAATTCCCTTGTGCCACAGAGGTTCAAATGCGGTGACTTCGTGCTATCTGCAAAGTAGGTAGTCGTCCTGGGATTAGTCGGCTCACATAGCGGGTTGAACATCCAGGTTAATAAAAAAAATGTAGTTTGTGAATGTCAATTAAGTAACTTAATAAAATCAAGACTAAACCTACTACTATATATGTGAATACAACGTGAACACCCAAGAATATTCTTAACCCAAAAAAAAGGACAGTGTCATACACCAACTTTTTAGCAAAAAAACCAATGCATATATACGTAACAAGCATAACGAATATTCAATCTTAATATCATAAAACAGAAAATTCCATAAGAAATAAATTAATTTATGAGCGAGGAGGAGATTATAGTTAAAGTGTTTAATTTATGGAAAGAGAATTAATTTATAAAGAGAGAAAATTAAAGTTGTCATCCAAATTAAAATTTTACATAATTACTCTTTCAATATTAGTTAAAGAATAACAATATAAATCATTTTAAATTAATGATTCATGATATCGTTCAAGCTAATATGGATAAAAGGAGACCCATTGGAAAACAACTCAACAACAATGGGAAGGTTAAAATGGTTTACGATGACAATCGTAGTTCGAGTTCCGGATGTGAAGACAATAATCAAAACGTTTGTATTGATAATGAATTAATATTTATTGTATTCGTTTTATGTTGATTATGACGTTTTTGTATTTTTTTATAGTTTATATTATGTTGGTAGTTTTTTCTTTAATTATTACTACGAGCCCAATTCATATGTTCAAATGGAATGAATTCATCGTCAACTTAATTTGTTATGCAATCCAATTCTGATAACCATTCGGCTTCATCAGCTGCTTGTGATGTTTAACCTGCCATAGACTGCAACTAGTGTTCATATACGTTCAGGTGTGTTTATATATGTTCTAATAGGGACATGAATCAAGGCATCTAATATTGAATTTATAATTTTTGTTAATTTATTATTGATTCTTGTTTTTTTTATAATATTGATTTTTCTATCGATAATGTTTTTGAATTTGTGATTGGTAGAAAAGACACGATAGTAAAAGTTTTCGGTATTGTTCAAGCTATTATGGATAAACCTATTGTTCATAATGAATGAACTATTGTTCACAAGTGTTCATATTGTGTTCATATGTATACTAGATGCATACCTCAACATTGATCGCTCCTGAATGTATTCATAATGAAGGAACTATTGTTTACAAGTTGTTCATATTGTGTTAATATGTACACGAGCTGTATATCTCAACATTGGCTCGCTCCTGAATGTGTTCATAATGAAGGAACTATTGTTCACAAGTTGTTTATATTTTGTTCATAAGTTGTTTATATTTTGTTCATATATACACTAGCTGCATATCTCAACATTGACTCGCTCATGAATGTATTCATAATGAAGGAACTATTGTTCACAAACTGTTCATATTGTGTTCATACCTGTTTTTTTATTTATTTCCTTTACTGTAGCAGCTATTCTTATTATGTTCATATTGTATTCATAAATGCTATGCAGTCCAAGTTCATATATATGTCATATTTGACACAATGGTTCATATATATATATATATATATATATATATATATATAAATGTGTTCTTATGGTTCTTACATTAACAAAAATAAATTAACAAAAATAATGAGATTTTTTTGATTTTGTAACTCTCAATTAATGATATGGGAATTACATAAAAAAGAAAATTACCTAAATATCCTTTTCCCCTTTGTTCATATATGTTTTTTGAAATTGTAAATTTAAAAAATTAATTTTTTATCATGATTAATCATAACCGTTTATTTTAAGAATCAATGGACAAGATTGGTTAACAAAGTTAACACAATAATCTTGGTTAACATTTGAACCAGCCCATATATATATATATATATATATATAGGTGAGTTGTTATACAACCCTTTACATTTGTACAACCAATACAACCTAATCTCAACCGTCCATTTAATTTGACTAGTTGTGTACCCGCGTAATGCAGCATGAGCCATGAATTTTAACGATTTTGAAGTTCCACTGGTTTTATATGATAAGATTTAACGATGATATATGTTACACTTGGTCTTTACATATTAATACAATTTGAATAAATAAGAGTTATGGTTCCAATTACAGACTATCGATGAAAAAAATTGTATGACAGTTTAAAATC